TAAGGCGCCGGTAGTTGTTGACATCTGTTAAGAGGCGTTTGTTCTAGGTTAGTGTACCAGCTTTCCAGAGTCAATCGTTGCATCGGGCGACGCGAGTTCCTACAGATTTCAAATTTCAGATCTTTTATTGTTTTGCACGATTTATATATTGTTAACAATCGATCTATATCTTCCCTGCTGTGCCCTGCAAAAATTGTTCTAAGTGCATTACACAATAAACTTCTATCATTATTGTTGTTGTTAAACTTGTTCTGTCAAGATGGCCTTACGCCCTGACTATAACCCGCATTATTGTCCTCTTCAACTTTTCATTTGCGTTTTCGTTTTTTTGTTTCCTCTTTTAAAGAGTCCTCTTTGTGTCTCCTGTCCTGTGACGTTGTTGTAGTCGGAGGAGGTATTTCAGGAATGTACATGGCAGAGACACTCATGCGAATGAAGAAAGAAGAGAACGTATGTTTGTTTGAAAAAGATTCCAGATTTGGAGGACGAGACTATGACTTCAGGTTTAGCCAAGCACCAAACATCAGAATAAGTAAGTTAATAACTTAGTTTGCTGTCACCCAGAAACACGACATGCTGGCTTTTCCTGTCTTCGGCGGTCACGTTGTCTTCGGGGTAAGACATATCAGCCTTCGTGAGAAACTGAAATTTCATAAGACGCTTAAAGCAACGCTCCTTTAAGGACGTTAGCGCGACAATTTTCCAACATTGACTTTTTTCTGAGACTTTTACCACTGTAAGATAATGAGTTAGTTATGTCAGAAATGTAAAAAAAATGGGAGGCCAGCGGCTTAGTTTTGGAGAGAACATGCCCGGAAGAACACCCTAAATCTGAAAAAAAACGGTCTTCGTTAGCGAATAAGGCTACAGTGTCTGTAAACCCACAAATATTGCAATTAGATATTTGAAGTGAAATGTTCTCTGCCAAATATTGTTTAAGTGGACCTATTTTAATAGGCCTAAATTCACTTAAAAGTGAATTTAGGCAACTAGTGAGATTCCTTAAAGAAGTAGTTCGCATTTAGCGACCATAGTTTCACGCGCCTTGCAGCCGCAAGATGGCAGGATTCGATGTCCCGTGGACAGAAATCTTGAAAATTTTTTTTAACTTCCTACATTGATTTTTTTGTTCATTTTTGGACAATGTGGAGATAATTGTAAATAAAATCTGTTTCTGGAAAGAAAGGTAGAGGTCACCGAACGTCCAAGATCGTTAAATCCAGGTAAAGCTAAAGCAATGGCCATCTGCCCTATCATTGCTTATTTTATTACTTAGCGCGCGCTCTCATGCATCACGTGGCGTGTTAATCTGCGTGCGCAGTAACGATGCACAGAAACAATTAGCGCGTACTTCCTGAAGGTCATTCCCCAGTATTGCATTGCGCGTCCTTACTACGCATAATTTATGGCGTCATTAGCGCGCGTTCGTGCACGCGCACAATGAAAACATGGCGGATTTGCCTTGATATTAAGTTCTGTCAGTTGAAAAATGGCTTCAGCTACCTAACGAGCTCGGGCACCCCAAATTTTTTTCCAGTCATTTTAATTAACTAATCATTAGCTTTGCGTGAGAAAAGACTGATCTGATTTCTATGTTTGAAAATTGAATAAATAAGAAAAATAACAGCTGCACTGTAGTCTTTTCTATTTTGCAGTTTGATAGCCGTGGCAAGCAATTTGGTTACAATATTTTAACAAAGATTCAGCTGTCTATCAAAATCAAACTTAAAAAGTTAAAAAGTATTGACTGTAGTTGAGGCGTGTTTTCATGAGTCTGGGCTCACAAAGAGTTTACAATAACTTGGAATGCGTTCTTGTAATAAGCATTAAATAACGCTAAAATGGGACATTTCCAATGCCTCACCGCTCCTTAACGAGCATGGGCACCCCCCTTTTTATTTTATAACTTAAGTTCTCATATGATAAATATTCATTGGACAAAGTTTGAACAAAAATCTATGTGCAGTTTTATTTTACGGAAATTACCTTAAGGTGGCTCCCTAGAGTTTTGCGATTGCACGCGCGCATAGGACGAAAGCTCAAGTAATCTACACGCGCTCAAAGGAAAACTGCAGTGTTTTTTCGATTTTTATGACGTCACCATGAGGACAAAAAGCAAAACCAACAGTGAATTTTCTCGCGTTTCCTTCGGTGAATTTTTTTTTAATTTGGCCCAGTTTGAACCACATACAATTCCTATAAAATGCCCTACTTTTGTTAAAATCTCTCAGAGCTAATCTTATATATTGAGATGAATGACAAATTACAGGATATTGGAAAAACCGTCTGAACAACTTTGACTTTTTACCAATTCAAAATGTCAGGCAATATCATTTCCACGATGTGGCAATGTATGAAAACATTTCACCGAAGGAAAATGTAAATATGAAGGAGTTTAGGCCGAAATGAGGAATATATCTGCCTGTGATTAGCTGAGATGTTGCCATGGTAACGGCCTTAATCCAAAAATTGACAGCCAAAAAATAAGCTCTATTTTAACAATAGCCTTACTGGTAAATCTCTACAAGGAAAACTTTAAGAGAAATTAACTAAGTTTCCTTTTCTAACTCGCGCTCTATAGAGAGGGTGTTCGTAAATACTCTAGGGAGCCACCTTAACGTCATTCCCCAGTATTGCGTTCATCCCTACTGCGCATAATTTCACGCGTGATTAGCGCGCGCGCATTAAAAAATGGCAGCTTTTTCTTTGCGGCTGGACCTCGTCATAGAGGTAAATCATCATTTTCTCGAAAACGAGTACGGTGACCTATCATTTTTTTTTCTGTTGTGTTGAATTGAGTAATAAATTTCTCTTTCTCTATGTAAAATAAATATGGGCCAATTCTCAGTGTTGAGCAAGAAACAATCGTCGGAAACGTGAATTTAGCAAGCAATCGTGACTATAATCATGGTGCTATTGTAAGGACTCATATGGTATAAACAACGTGCTGTTGCTCCTAAACGAACATGGGGACCCTTCATATTTATTTCCAAATTTAAGTCCGTACAATATAAACAGTCAATAGGCAAAGTTTGACAAAAATCTCAGTGCAGGTTCTATTTCAGTGGAATGACCTTAAAAAGGATATCAGCTTTCTTGGCTATGCCCAGCATTTGAAAACTGTGGTTAGAAGTCAAAAACTTGACAACCATTTGTTTCTCTTTGCTTTGCAGCCATTTAAAAGCTGTTATTGCAATGAGTCTGTGTTCAAATATTTTTTGTTTAAAAAGGTATACAAATCCCTAAAACCTACCTAGTAAACGGTGTCAGAATTTAGAACTTTACAAATTTAAAATCTCCTCTGTTAATAATTAAGGCAAGCTACTAAAACTCATTTAGTATGCATGACAAATTTAAACACAAAAATGTACGTATTGCTAAACGATGGGCTTAAATTTACTCTTAAAGGTTTAGGAGCCTGGCTTGTGGATAGAGAAAACAAGAGAGTAATGTAAGAAAATATCAATTTCTTTTTATTTGTGATCACGCTGACCAATCATTTCTCGATTTTACAAAAATTAAGAGAAGATCAAGTTAACGTACCTTGATTTTCTCTTGCCAAAATTATATTCACTAGGAACTGCGGACCCGTCCACAGTACGTTGGAGAAATTTGAAAACGGCGTTGTACGTACTCTGAAAGCGCATCAAATGTATTCTGTCTACAGAGGCTACGCCGGAGAAATTTAAAAACGCAAAAATCAAGTGCACCGGTCATTTTGAATTTGTGTTTGCGAAAAGCTCGGGCAGTAAAAATCACATCATTGACGTGACGTCATCGTTTTCAAAAAGCGCCGTTTTCCAAACGTTTTCCATGGACACTACAAAGCAAAACTCGCGTTTTCAAATTTCTTCGGTTTAAGGAGCGTTTTCGAAAAGCTCCGTTTTCGTGACGGATTGTTGTGGACGGAAGGCCTAACCATAGAAATAAAGCTGCGTTTTCAAATATCTCCGACGTAGTGTGGACTGGGCCTGAATATCGTGTCTTTCCTTGGAAGTCCACGGTGTTTTGGACTTTGTATATAAAGTAAAATGGTTCCATGTAAGGAAAGTCCCAGTGTCCCGATAATGATCATATATATATCAATCAGGTTAGAACTAATGGTAAATTCAATCTACATTTCTCTGGTCCTTCTATCTGGAACAATTTGGATGAAGAGATAAAAAGTTTATCTCTGCGTTTATTTAACAAACCCTGACTAAGCAATTTCTAAGTTCTTGTGCGTAATGCTAGCTTAGTATATTTTCGTTAAGTTACTATCGCTCTTAATTGAACAATGCTCTGTGGGAAAACATTTCTTCGCTTTACAACCTGACACTGAAGCCGTTTGAAAGATTCTTTTCAGAGGCTTCTTGTTTAGTTTCTATCATGCCTTACAGGTAAGCTATTTAAAAGAACACATTATGTAATTATAACCCATCAAATATTTTCGATCGCACGCGATTGGTCTAGACACGTCACGTGACTGAATATGCCTCAACTAAAACTGGGGAATATCTGAGTGTTTTCAAAACTGTGCGCGTTTCGAATAACATTTGGAGGCTAATGATCACAATAGCCTCCATTTGTCAAATATCCGAGCATATTTTCGCGCCAAATAGAGGTTATACCGAATTGTTGGAAAGTGCCTACCTTAACTTTAACGTATATAACATTTTTTTCAAGATTAGGACAAAAAAAGCTGTCATACGCCTGGGAGTAATTGGTCTTGTAAATTTTATTCCACTCGCGCTTGCTGGATATGAGGTGATTTTTAGC